GCGTGCCACCGGAACAGATAAATTAATACATCCAAGAACAGGTTGGGGCTCGACTTTTTCACCGTAGATGTACTGATTATACTGTGTCTATGGCAGGGGCGATTGCATTGTCGATTGCTCTGGGGACTTACATCGAACAGTCACCGATTATGAACCACAGACGAGAGAATGACTTTCCAGGCGTTCTTTTCTCAAATATATAATAATAACAACAACGTAAGTAAGAGAGATAATTATTGGATCTAACTTGGATTTTAGAATTTAGTTTCAGTGTATGGCTAATTATTCATTTTGAAGTAATTATAGTATAAAATTAAGTAATTGTTCCTGACTGATAGTTTGAAGAAAAATTTGGGCCTGACCGATAGTTTTAGTCTTTTAGACCCCAGTAGAGTTTAATAGTTGTGGGATCAATGTGACGTTGACTCGTAGATGGAGGATGAAAACAGTGCTTTCTAATAGTTTGAGGAAAAAATTGGTCCTTATTGACAGTGGCAAATCGAGGACCAAGTTGGCGTTAACAAAAGGTTGAAGGACCAAAACATTAATTACTGATGTCTGGAACACTGAAGTTTAAGACTGATAGTTTGAGGACCAAAGTGACATATGATTATAGTAAGAGGACACCATAGACGTTTAAGAATTGTTGAAAGACATTTAACTTCTAAAGAATTGTTGGAGGACCAAAAAGGCACTAAACAATATTAGGTGGACTAAACTGGAGGTATATAATATTTGGTGTACCAAACAAGCATTGGCTGGTAGTTAGAGGATCAAGTTGGTGTTTCTTCATAGTTGGAGGACAAAGTAGATACATTATGATAGCATGACTCATAGTTTTAGGACCAAATAGGTGCTGTATCATAATTGGAGCACCAAAGTGGACTAAATCTTAGTAGGAGGACCCATGTGGTGGTCAAAGATAGTTGGAGGAACGAATTGGTACAGATTAGTAGTTTGAAGGAGCAAAGTTGCTGTGTGATAGTTCAAGGATCCAATTGGTATTGATTGAAAAATTGAGGGTCAAGTTGGTCGTATATTATAATGGGAAGACTAAACTTTTGCTTACTAATAGCTTCAGGACCAAAATCTTGTTGGAAAATAGTACGGAGGCCAAATAAATGGCTATGACTAGTTACTGGACAAACTTGACTTTAAGGGTCTATTTGATATGACTTTTGTTTTTACTTTTGTCTCTGGTAGAAAAGTTTTTGGAGGAAACCACCATAACTTTTGTTTGGAAACTAATTTTTAAAAACATTTACAGTTTCGAAAGTGCGTTTAGAAGAAGTCATATTGGACTAGCTTCTTATATAAGTTCTTCTAACTACTAGAGTACTTTCATAAAATTATCGAAACAGATCCAAAAACATCTTTTGGGTCTCAAAAGCTTCCTTTGACTTTTCAAAAATCACGTCAAACATGCTCTAAGGTTGTAGGACGAAATAGACACTATATCATAGTAAGAGGACTAACGTGGCACAACACTATAGTTGGTGGACCAAAGTAGTGGAGATAGAAAGTTTGAGGATAAAATTGGTGTTGACACTTAGTTGAAGGTCTGTGTTGGTATTTTTTATTAGTTTGAGGACTGAATTGGCAGATTGATTTTTGAACGAAATAGGCACTAAGATACCTTTTGTCTCCCATTCTTTCAAAATTTAATGTTTGAAATGCTATGTTTTTTAAGAATGTGTGGTTGAAAAATAAAGAAATATTTTCGATTTACGTGTAATATTATTTTATGAAAAAATGTGCTGTTGAAAACAAGAGTGAGAAGAAAAAATTGTAAGAAAAAGGGGGCCAAAAGAGGGCTAAATAATAGTTGGAGGAACAATGTGTCACTAAATTGTAGTAGGATGACCAAAGTGGCAATCCCTAATAGTTTGAGGAATAATTTTGGGCCTTAATAATAGTTGGAGGACCAAATTATCAGGGACTGGTAAATTGAGGATCAAACTACTCCTGACTGATAGATTAGGAAAACGATAGTGTGGTCAAGAAGATTGAGTACCAAGTTGGTAGATACCGATGGATGGAGTACTTCAGTTGCAAAGACAAATAGCTGGAGGACCAAGGTGGCGGTAACTGGAAGCTACAGGACATAATTGGTCCTGACTGATACTTGGAGAATGAATATTTGATGTTGGATGATGACTAAATTGAATCCAACCCAAAATCCTTCAAACCCAAATCTAAAATAAACCTAACAATCAAAATCAGACCAAAATTCCTTCAAACCCAATCCAATTAAATTCAACAATCAAAATCCAAGCCAAATTCCTTCGAATCCAATTCGAAATTAAATCTAACAATCAAAATCCAATTTGCAAGTATTACCTGCAAATTATCTAGGATGAGAAAACAATTCTGAATGTCATGGGGTATCAAATGCAGTTGCCCTTGTAAGCTCCCAAAGGAAATTATTTGACAATGTAATGATGCCACTCACTCTTATAAAAGTTCAAGAATTTCCACATACCGAATGTGTAAAGTTGCGTCACCAGTCCTTGATGCTTGTTTGGTTGCTATAATAATCGTTGCTACTTCAAGCAACTGCATTAAGTTGCTCCAGCCCAAATTCCTTCAAACGTAGTTCAAATTTAAATCCAACAATCAAAAGCCAATCCATATTCCTTCAAACCCAATCCAAAATTAAATCCAACCCAATTTCTACAAACCCAATCAAAATTAAATCCAAACCAAATTCCTTCAAACCCAATTAAAATTTAAATCCAACAATCAAAATCCAATCCATATTCCTTCAAACCCAATATAAAATTAAATCCAACCCACTTTCTTAAGCCCAACACAAAAATAACTACAACCCATATACAAACCAACCCATTAAAGTTCCTTCAAACCCATGATCCAAAATTAAATCCAACCCAATTTTGACAAACCCAATCCAAAATTACATCCAACCCATTAAAAATTATTCAAACCCAAAAATCCAAAATTAAATCCAACAACAATCAAAATCCTCAAACCCAATCCATTTAAATTTCACGAACAAAATCCAAGTGAAAATCCTTTAAATCCAAATCCAACCCATATTCTTTCAAACCCATTCCAAAATTAAATCCAACAATCAAAATCCAACCCTGTCCAAATTAATCCAACCCAGCAAACCCAATAAAAACCGATTAATCTAACCCATATTCAATCCAACCCATTAAAAAAGTGGAAATTACACAAAATCCTGTGTTTAAAGATGTGAATTCTAAAATCAGATGGCAAGTTTCACATTTCACAAATTAGATATTTTATTTTTAAATAATAAATATATAATTTTCATTCCGAACCCTAAAAATTTCCCCCTCTTTTCTCTCTCTACATCTCGATCTCACACCATCTCTTTTTACTAGAGCCGCCAACATTGCCCATCGTCGTCGGCTAAGCATCGTCGGCCGTTGCAGCAGGGTGCTGTGTTGTTGAGTTTGGGGATTTTTTTATGGTGGTGTGGAGGCTTCGATCCATTATGATTTGGTTTCTTGGTGTGGACGGTGGCGGTGACACTGAGCTTGTGTTGAACGAACACGATGATGCCAGTTTAGATCAGGTTTTGCTTTCATTTTTTGATGTTGTTTTGTAGTTGGCGGTCGGGATGTTGGTAGTTGTGATGGCGGTGATGTTGAGTTGGTGGTGATGTTGCGCTGCGTTCTAGTTTTGGATTTAGCTTTGGGCTATGGGTTTGGGTGGAGGAGAACATGGAGGAGAAGGGGGTTGTGTGATGTTGGTAGTGGTCGTGGTGTGATGTTGGTGGTGGTTGGGATGGTGATTGATAAATTTGGATTTAATTTTTTTTTTGTAGTGGTCATAGCTGACCTAAATATTCGATAATTTGTGACTGAAAGTAATTTGTGTTCAATTAATTTGAAAATCTGTGACATACAAATAAACTGTGACTTATAGATTTTTTGATTTGTGAACGATAAAATTAATTGTTATTAATTAGTTTGATAATTTGCAATGAATAAATGAGTTGTGACCAATAAAATTTGATTTTGTGATCAATGAATATTTTGTGACCTTATAAGATTTTTGATTCGTGACTGAGCAATAATCCATGACCTATAAAATTTTTGATTTGTGGCTGAGAAATAAGTTGTGACCAATAATTTGATAAGTTGTGTCCGAATGTTAATCTGTGACTAATTAATTAGATAACTGTGACCAAATTACCTGGAATTGTGACCTCAATATATTTAATTAGTAAAATTTATGTTTAATAAATTAATTTGTAATATAAATTTTTTTGATTTGTGACTAAAAAATAATAAGTGACTAATTAAATTGTTAATTTGTGACCATATTATATGAATATGCGACCTAAATATATTTAATAAATAAGTAAATAAATAAAATTATAAATAAATTTTAATAAAAATCTAATTTTTGGAGTTTTAAACTCATTTTCTTAATTTTGAAATATGTCATATTTAAATTCTTACTTATGAAATTTTCCTTTAAAAAAATTCATTCAAACCCAATATAAAATTATATTCAGCCAAACATATGCAAACCCAATCCAAAGTCAATCCAACCCATTAAAAAATTCATTCCAACCCAATCTAGAATTAAATCCAGCCAAATTTATGGACGCCCAATCTAAAATTAATCCAACCCATTAAAAATTCATTCCAACCCAACCCGTTTGGCCTTCATTTTGTGCAAAAATTAATGGGTGGAATAATTTTTTTTTTTTTAAATGAGTGGTTGAAAGAAAAAGAAATTTTTTTGGTTTATGTGTAATATTATTTTATAAAAAATTGTGTAATGAAAAATAAGGGAGAGAAAAATGAAAAGTAATGGAACGAGGATACCAAATCTAACCCAATTTATGCAAACCCAATTGAAAATTAAGGTCTCATTTGGTATTCAATTTTTAAGAATGCAAGAGATAGAATGTCAATAATAGTGACTTCTTATCATGAATAACGAACATATTTTTTATTTTTGTGGTCAAATAAATGTAAATCAAACGGGGCTAAATCGAACTATCAAGTATCTAGAACAGCACCAGTTTTCTATTTTCAAATGACAATTTCTTTCAGAATGACCAAAACTGTGGTGGTTAAGTCGATATCGTGCAGTGGTGAAGAATCCGAGACAGTAGTCTTTAACTTGATGAATCAAAGGAGGGCTATGCCTATGACGCTAGAAATTGATGTTTCTTTTTCTCTGAGGATGAATTGTGGGGATCTTGCCAGGCAAACTACTTCCTCGCCTGGATTTTTCAATGGTAAATACATATTGCTTGAAATTTGTTTGTGCTGGTTTAGTTTAGTTAATTAGAACTCTTTTTGTTTGCATAATTTGTGTATTATCTGTGCAAAAGGATGTTTCTTTTGGTTGGTAGATAGGGTTGACTTTCAGCTTTATTTGGGTATAGAAAAAGACTGGAACAGGAGGAAAAAAAAAAAAAGGAAAGAAATTTTACATATACATTTCTCCGTTTTTGTTAAACATAAAGAGAGCTGAAAAAGAAGAAATATCTTGGGAAGTTTTTTCTACATCTTTTTTCTTTTTGGGGTTGGTAATGTTGGTAACTCCAGATGCGACAGGAGAAGAAGGTAAATCTTACATTATCAAGCCTATTCTGCAGAGACATGGACACTATTATGTGTCAAAAGTTGCACTGCGGGATCTGTTTGGTAGATTTGCCGCACTAAAAAATTCTCTTCCATCCCATAATCGTAAAATAGAAATTGATTCTTCTTATATTGTTCGTAGGCAGCAAGAAGAAGAGAGTAATGTGGAGGAGGCTGAAGTTGAAAAGGTAATAAAATAGTCGGTTGATGACTACATATGCATTGGCATATTTAGATCAATTTAAGATGATTTTGAAGAGTAATTGCAGGAATTTACTAAATTAATGTTCTAATTTTCATTGGTAGAGATTTTGAAGTGAATAATGCTAAGTTGAAAAGGTGATAAAATAGTCAGTTGATGACTACAAATGCAGTGGCTTGTTTAGATCAATTTAAGATGATTTTGAAGGGTAATTGTGGGAATTTACTAAATTAGTCTTCTAAATTTCATTGGTAGAGTTTTGAATTGAATAATACTATTTGCATTCACATACTATTGCAGCCGTCTTACGTAGCATATATGTGATGGTTAGTGATTTGATATATGAGGTAAGAAAAAAATTACCACATTAATAAATCAAATCACAAACTGTAATTTAGGATGTCACATAGGGCGACTATCGGAGTGAGCGACTATGAATATGATTACTTTTTTGAAGTGTATTAAAGAGAATTTCCTTTGATTTTAGCTTTTAGACGGGGATCATTTGTCCTATTTATAGGCATTACAACAAGTATGTTGACCGTCTAATGTCACATCAGCTATAGTGTCGACCTTAAAGTATATGTCATTGCCCAAATTTGAGAATTTTGATTGGTTGTTGAGGTCGGTCATGCATGTCATCATGCTACCTAGGTTGTAGCTGTGGCCTTGGTCATGATTACCTGTTACCTAGGTAATTATTATTATTTTTTTGATTGGTAGAAGATGAGATGTTGATGCCATGTGTCACTTGTTGCTTTGGGAGTCATTTGGGAGATATGTGTTCATGATTGCAATGATGATGTTTTTGGATGATGCCGCAATAGACTGAGCTGAGTGATTTCCTAGTCCATCCTTTTTTGCGATAGTTAGCTTCTTTTTTACATCCAATTCATCATTGTCATGTGCCATTTAATACACCTCATTCATGAAACTACTTATGATTGACCAACTTCCAAAAAGGAATCTTACGATTCCGAGTTGAGAAATGAAGGTTCGAACTTTACGAAGAGTAAACGTCTAGATCTTAGAGAATATTTGTAGGTGTTTGCACTCACGACCACCTCTAACCCACTACAAATTAAGGAGAGCTAAAAAAGATGCTATCTCAAAGAAGATGGACTAGGAGATCGTCAGGGTAGCTCGACGTTGTCGCCTTCATCCAAAAATATTATCATTGCAATTCTAAATACATGTCTCCCAAATAACGTCATCACCACGGACGACCACTTCCAAAGCGACAGCATCAACACCTCATCCTCCACCAATCAGAGACAAGCAATGATTATCTAGATGACATTTAATCATGACTTAGGCACAAATATGAATTAGTTAGTATGATGGTCTTCATGACCAACCTCAGCAGTTGATCAGAATTTTCAAATCTGGACAGTGGCACACACTTCTAGGTCGGCACTGTAATTGATGTGATATTAGGTGATCAATTTGCTTATTGTAAGGCTTATAAATAGGACAAATGGTCTCCTCCTAAAGGCCGAGATTAAGGGAATTATCTCTAATACACATCAAAATCTATGTCAATAAAATTAGCTACTATTTAGTAACTCCTGCAATTATTCTAAAAAGCGTCTTAAGTCGATCTGAATTTTCTACGTCATTTTTAGTCATCAACATGGGCAATTGATAGTGCCAGGCTTCACCCTTCTCCTTCTCCTGCTCCAGAAGATGAAGACGAAGATGAAAGCAGTGAAGAATAAGATGACATTGTTAAGGGTGATAGCTAGGATTATCGAAAAAAGGGTAAAAGGAAATGATTAGTGCTTGCAAAAGGCATATCAAATTATGCCATTATGTTATTTTCAATATTAGATTATAGAAGTAACTATATAATTAATTGTTATCACGGATGGTTTGTCATGATTTCTTATAGGCAAAATTATTTTGATGATGTAATTAATGGACATAGATTCTGTGATTCTGCTCTGTTGCGGCACTCGTTTGATGCCTAAATTTAGTTTAGCTAAGAGATAAATCTAACAGAGATTAGAGGGAGTGTTGCTAGGTAAGGGAACGATCGTTCTTCAATTGTAGAGCAAGCAGCCTTTCACATCCTCTTTCAGAAAATGTTTCGGATTAGAAAATCATATTATTTTTTCTCAATTCAGCCCTAAATCCACAGTTGCATATTTAATACGCAATGCACTGCCAAGTCCTCTACTTCATGATGGTGGCACGAATGATTGATGATTAGGTTTCTGCTCGAATGATGGATAAACGAAAAAGGATTCATATGCACATGTCATTGTACATTGGTGTCTGTAAAACTGACAATTGATTTGTTATTCTGTTTGACCTGTTTCGGTTGTTATTGATGTCATGTGATGATGGCTTTTGTTTCTTAGATAAAAAGTTGAGACCTTTTCTTCTAGGATACACATCACGTTGATTTTCAGACAATGAAATTGTACTACCATAGGCTAATGCTACTTTCCCTCATCTTTTGTTCATATACTGAATCTATTATCAGACATTGTGTAGTATCAAGCAGGGTTTTGTGTTTGCAAAAAGAAGGGAGAAACATTGGTTAAGGAATTCTCTCCAGTTCCATTTCTCAAGTCTTAGTTACTTAAAAGTGTATATCAACCGTGATGGAATAGCGCGTACTAAATCATTTCCAGAATTAGTTTACGTCATAAGGTATGGCAGAATGGCTTCTCGGAATTGGCAGAAGAAAAATATATATAAGATTTGAATGTTTCAAGTTCTGAATTAATCATATAAATGTCAATAATTCATATTTTATTCCCTTTCTTTTTGATTGCCATTGATTCCACAATTTATTTGCATAACAGTGTACCTTTCTTCTCTTTCCTCGCTCTCGTGCAATTGGTATCCGATCAATATCTTTGTATAAGTTCTAACTTTCCCGGAATGTCTATCAAGAATTCACTTGTGTTTCTTTTCTTGATCATCAAGTTGCATGCGTTTAGATTGTACATGATCAAACTTATCCTGAATGCCCATCAAGATAGAGTTTTTCACTCGCTTGTGATAATCAAGTTGTACGCATTTATTTTATTGAGAGAATGTGTAGCTCGACGTTGTCGCCTTCATCCAAAAATATCATCATTACAATTCTAAATACATGTCTCCCAAATAACGTCATCACCACGGACGACCACTTCCAAAGCGATAGCATCAACACCTCATTCTCCACCAATCAGAGACAAGCAATGATTATCTAGATGATATTTAATCATGACTTAGGCACAAATATGAATTAGTTAGTATGATGGTCTTCATGGCCAACTTCAGCAGCTGATCAGAATTTTCAAATCTGGATAGTGGCACATACTTCTAGGTCGACACTGTAATTGATGTGATATTAGGTGATCAATTTGCTTATTGTAAGGCTTATAAATAGGGGCTAAAGTAAATAGTTTGTACTGAATTCTAATATTAAATTTTTTAGTTTTGCTATAGGTACATTAAATTTGACATCACAAATGGCATTATTTGACGTGGCAATACTTTTGATTTTAATAATATTTATTTAAATAAATGACACAATTTTTCACACATCACACAATATCATTCATAATGTCATCCAGGAGCGTACAACTAGCATGATTATTCAGGTGGTTAGCAAGTGTATATGGAGTGATTGGCACAAAAGCTTTCCCGGGGTCTGTCTTGACATGGTGAGGGCTTTGGCTTTAGGAGAAGGGATTGGTCCCTGCACAAGAAGGTTGATTTTGTTCACTCAGTTATTAGATCTGGCCCTGTCGGGATCTCAGCGTCATATTTATTGTGAAGAATAATTCTGAATTCTGGCAAATTTGCTTTTGGAATTGACAATGACGACAACAACAATTCTGCAATGCCAAGAACAAATCAACATGAACTTTTTTGTTTAAGACCTTAGTTTTGTTTATTTTGTTAAACCAACGAACATTTTTTTTATTAATCTTTTAATTTAATATTGCTATAAGTACATGGTTTCATAATAACGGATTGAACTTGATTAGACAAGACTTGACTAGAGCATGATTTGAATCATGGGAGCTTGAATTACAAGGATCTTGGATTTTCCAAATAACTCCATTTACTTGAAAGGGTATTTAAATTTAATCAAGTTAGAGCGAGCAACACCTAAAGATTGAACTAGATAGAAGGCAGGCAAAAAATATTGAGACTATTTATACATTAATACGGGTTGTCTCTAAACCCTACTTGCCTCGACAATTGTACATGAGTTTTTATCTCCTCATTTTTTCTTTGTATATTTACAAGAATTAGTATCTCATCATTTTTTACTTTTGTATTTTTTGCATACATTTTGAGTAGTCGTCAATTTTATGTCCCTTTATCGTATTCATTTACGGTCTATTGAAATCATTGTAAGATGATCCTAATTCATTCCATCCTGTTTTGATGGAGTTTAAAAACATGCTACGACTTTAGTGCTTTATTAAAATAAAAATAACAAAAAATGTAGCATTAATGTGTGTTTCTTAATGTGCCTCAAGTTTTGAAAATTTAATCACCATTTATGAAAATAAATGTAAAATGTTGAACATAAAAGGATTTTTTGTTTTCTAAATTAAAAAAAATGAAATTATTAAAGTTAGAGTTTGTTTGGTACAACTTAAAATCAATTAAAATCAATTTTTTTTATCGTTATTTCACTATTCCATCTGTTATTTTTTAATTTTTCTTTCATAGGTAGAATTAACTTTATCTCTAATCGTCAAAAATTAATTATCAAAATTCATACAAACAAGAACTATATAGTAATGTAATATACGAATCATTAACTGCCACGTGGCAAATAGCATCATTCATGATGAAAACATTAGTCAAACAGATTCAAACTTTGTGCTTTTTATTATAGTCACGCAGGATCATTTTATTTGATACAATTTCTTGTGCCTTTTTCAGGATTGATTGAGGGGGGTTTTATGAGAGATGTCGAATCTATACAGAGGGGATTTCAATTCCAAAATCGATTACGTGTTCAAGATCGTATTGATCGGCGATTCAGCAGTGGGGAAATCGCAACTTTTGGCGCGATATGCAAGGAATGAATTTAGTTTGGACTCAAAAGCCACTATTGGAGTTGAATTCCAGACGCGAACACTTGAAATTGATCACAAAACTGTCAAGGCTCAGATTTGGGATACAGCTGGCCAAGAAAGGTAATTATTTTGATAGTTGATTCATGGTTTCTGATTGCATAATTATGTCTCGATTTTGTTCAGTTGAGACTTGCATTTTCTTCGTCAGGCCGATACATCGATAATTTTACTTTTTTATTATTTACTTAAGTAGTTTATTAGATACTTATTGTGATGCATTTTGAGCGACTTCTAAGTTTGAAAAGTGATTGGTGATCGGGCCTTTACTTCAACAATTCGTTCAATTAACAGAGAAACCAAGTGCATGTTGAATCGAGCTAAATTTGGTTGAAAACACAACACTGCAGAGTTTTCCCTTGTGATCATCTGTATGGGATAGGACTATCATCTGGCTACATTTATATAACATTTAGACGGTCTGCAGTTGGAATATAAGAAGGGAGAATTGAGCCTATGTTTTAGATCATTTTCTTTTATGCAATCCATGATATAACCAAGCTAACTTTGTTGAAGCATTTTAATCAATTTTTTGCACATCACTTTTGTTTAATTCATTCTTATGTTCCCTCACAAATTTTTTTTTTTTTTTTCTGGAGTGGGGCTTAAACTTTCTGTCAAACTATATACACATCTTTTGAGTTCCGACTAAATATACTAAAAGCTTGAAAATAGTTATTTGTAAATTAGCTGAAGAGATTCTAACACTTACCAAATTTTTCTCTGTTATCTTCACTTTTTGCTGCCAAGTTCAGCAATGAGTCACCATCTTTGCTGGTAGTAGTGTTTCATCTTATGACGATTATGATGTCCAAATGCCACAGCAAGTGCTAGTTGTCCTTGTGCTATTAGTTGGTCAACAAGTTCAGAATCATTTAAAACATTTTACCTACAGTGCTGATAAAGTTGAACTGGTTATTATAGCAACAAGGAACTTGATGTTTTGTCCAGGTTGTATGTGTGTGCATTATTTATTTAGAAATGAGGACTTGTAGAAGATGGTACACAGAATTAGGAGCAGATTGAAGGAAATAAAGAAGTGGAATAAGGGTTTTATGTGATTGGAAGATACTCATGAAGGTAAAATGCAAGTTAATGAGAATGTTAAGATAGATGTTTGGGTAAACTAGAATGAGAGAAAAAAAGATGGCATGAATGATCTGTAAATTAAGGTAATCATGAATTAGGTGGCATGCCTTACGCAGACACTTTAGAAGCTCTTGCCAAACGGAATAGTGAAATTAGATTCATTCAATTTGACCCCATGTCATGTGGAATAAGGCTTAGCTTGTTGCCGTAATTTGAAGGGGGGCGAGGGGGGGGGGGGGGGTCGGGTTTTTTTTTCAGGATTTCTTGATTACATGTCAACAAGATGGATGAACTTATGGAAGATGTTTTAGGGCAAAAGGAACTCTTCTGCCTCTCCTGTATCTGGGTTTGGCATTTGTTTGTGTGTTATGTTTTGTTGGTGAACTAACTACCCCTTTTATCACAGAAGAAGACAGTAAAGGGAAAAGTTTGTTTTCATATCATGTTTTTCTTACAGTACAAATCGGTGAAATCACTCGCTAAGTCACTATCTCACTACCAACTGAAACAGAAGCCCACAACTGACTTAATCCAATCGTTCAACCCCCTTTAGCAAATTTTGATGTTCAACTGGCTGCAACTAGTCTGCAGCCTCAGCTCTTTAAGGAATACTCCGGAGCAATCTTCTCCACGAGCTCATTTCTTTGTTTTTTGCTCAGAGTTCTTTCCTTCCTTTCTACACTGTTTTTCTCTTTTCTACAGTGGTGTGTTTGCGTCATCATTTTGAAGGGGGTTAGTTTAATCATCTACAGTTATAATAGACTGGATTAATTAATTTGCATGGGCATTCATGATATATTTCCAAAGATGAATTGTTGGCAATATTTTGTGGCTTGTGGTGTGAAAAATATATATAGGTAATTTAAAAATGTGACATAAGGGGTATGGCTAGTCTCAGGTAGACAGCTTTTATGGGGTGTAGGCCTCCCAAAAGGTAACGGAGGCGACTCTGGGTAGATCTTTGATTTGTAAAACTATCCAAAATCGAATGTAGCCTTTCCTGAGACGTGGCCCCTAGGCCCCTGCTAGGGGGAAAGAAGAGTGGGTATGGGGGCTTCTTTCGGGGCTTCCTTCGCTTGACTATTTAGCTTACTTAGGAGAGAGAAAATAGCATGACAAGAATATTGTTGGTATGTGCCATCACACACGTCCGTTACTCTTTAGGAGGCATCCGCTTTATGCATTTTTATATGTAAATACACCCTAGGTTGTACAAAAAGTTTTGCTGCATATCATTCTAAAATTAGAGGCAACAATTTTTATGACAAAAAGCATAAAGGACTGTTTCTACAGAGTATTCTATCACACAAATGGGATTTCACTATCTTTAAACGTGCCTGTAAAACTCTTTTACATTCTCTCAGTAGCTATTTGGCTGGTCGACCATGTGGTCACCATATTACTTATTATTATGCGGATTTAATTCTCTTTTCAGGAAGAGAAAAAAAGAAGAAGTAAAATATGTGCATATCTCAATTGTTCTATATATATAATGTACATAAACGTATAAAAAGAGGCAAATGGTGCACCTGCTTATATTCAACATCTATTTCCAAGCTATATTTCTTTGGGATGCCTTGAAGAATTTTCTCAATATTAAATAACAAATTACAATATATATTAGACCCAGAATTTTGTTGAAAATTAGTTCTGTTAAATTTGCTGAATTTGAATAGTTCTGCAACGTTTATTGGTTGATTGACCTTCACATATTATGAGAATATATAAATGCATGGATGCAGGATATGAGAAACATCTAATCTCTCTGTGCAGAATATTTGGTGGAAATGATGAGTGAGAAAAATCAACTGAGGTTTCCACTGTATAAGATAATTGACATGTATCTACTTGGATATAAGAGTATTAAAGATTCAATTTCATATCCTGATTGTCTTCATGTGAGTTCAACTACAAACTTCATTTATTTCAAAGTTCATTCTTTTCATTTAATATGCATTTGGGATTTTTTTTTTTAAAGGGTTTGGCATGGTTTTAAAATTGAGTATCTATATGAAAAATTTACTGAGCCCCTGTTTGGTAAATTTCTTTTAGAACTCATTTTTAACCATCCATTCTCTCAGTAAAATAATTTTGCAAGTGAACCAATAACTTTTCTGTACTTTGGAACCATACATTCACCAAAAAATGTTATCACTTTTCACAAAATAGATTTTTAAAAATCTACATCAAATAGGCGCTGAATATCACTTTATTCGTCTCCATGAATTGATCCTCAAATTCATCACGGAATGTGGTCTGAGGATTTTCTAGTTCAAGTTTCGTGTGTTTTATTCAGATTTTGGTCTTTATGTCTCTTGATGGGAAAATTGATATCTTTTATTTAATTTATCAGTGCTGTTCATAAAAAGTTTGAAGTCATATGAATGAAATACGTCTCCAGTGACAAGTTATTGACCGTATTGTCTACTGATCGTACCGAAAGATGGAGCTCACTTGAATTTGAGCTTTGACTAACACAATCTTGTATAGAAAAAGATAGTACAATATAATCTGATTCGTGTAAAAATGTTTATTTCTCAAAAATATTTTATCACATAAGAGGATGTGGCTTTCCCCGTTAACAAGGTTGGTGGCGGCCTCCTTCCTTCTTCAGTGCTGTCTATCTATCTTCCTGTCTCTATAATTTAAGATAATTTAGAATCCATTAACATTCAACATTAAGCTACTCTGCATTGGTGAGATTGTATAATCTAATGTGGATTGGACTTCGGGGCCTGAATTTATTCTGGGGCCTTCTATGGGGGAAAAAAAATTCATGTAATTCACTAAAGCCTATTCTAGCCAAGATTCTAGCCAAGATGCACAGCAAGCTTTGCGGCTAAACCTATAGCAACTGCAAGGCACAAATTAACATTTGAAAACTTCCGGCAAAATATTGTTTAAGAAAAAAATATCTCATTCTAAAAGTGAAATGTTAATTAAAAGTATTGGAAATAGATGCACTAATTGACCTATGTAGAGACTCATGACGGACTTCGGGGCCTGAATTTATTCTGGGGCCTTCTATGGGGGAAAAAAAATTCATGTAATTTACTAAAGCCTATTCTAGCCAAGATTCTAGCCAAGATGCACAGCAAGCTTTGCGGCTAAACCTATAGCAACTGCAAGGCACAAATTAACATTTGAAAACTTCCGGCAAAATATTGTTTAAGAAAAAATATCTCATTCTAAAAGTGAAATGTTAATTAAAAGTATTGGAAATAGATGCACTAATTGACCTATGTAGAGACTCATGATCAGTTAAGTAGAATCAGGCCCTTAATTTTACAATTTTAATGCGATGTTAAACTTGAAATGTTAGTCTATGTCCTATCTTAATAAAGGAGTGGCATTGGCCTCCTGTCCCATTTTTGGCCCCATCATATTGGTCAATTGTTTGTCAAGGCTCCGCTTCAATTTTGTATTACTTCTGTATTGACAAGGCAAAGGAGCTTGGAGCAACGGAGTGGTGGTTGTGGTGTTGTTGGTCCTTATATTTTCCATTTTAAAGTTATAATGCTTATTATGTCTTGTGTTTTGTCTAAATTAGCTGTTATCGATACAATTGAAGTGATTTTTTTTGCAATTTTTCTTTTTTTTGAAGTTTAAACTATCGCTTCCCCCCCCCCCCCCCTTTTTTTTTTTTTTTTTTTTTTAAAATAAAAATTTTATTTGCGAATAATAATTGATCCAAGAATAGGCCCCAAACAAGGAGAGGATTTTGGTGATGACTTTATAAAACACATTGCAACAAGCAGTTTGCTTATAATCTCCCATGGAAGTAGAGTGATTTGTCTTAGATACTAATGCAATAACCGTGTAGTTAGTTTGCTTAAGGAGAGTCCTCGATGCAAAGAATTCTGCAATTGCCTCCATGAACTCATTACCAACAATATCCCAAGACTTCTTGAAGAAGCATGAAGTATATTCATCCAGTCCCAATGACTTGTCATCTCCAATACTAAAAAGAGCATCTTTGATTTCTTGCTTTGAATCTCAAACAAGCATCATAGCATTTTCCTCCGATAATATGGGTCCACTTCTTAAAATTTCAACATTAAAGGGCTGTCCAAAACAGCCTTGTCCCAACAGTTCACTGTAAAAGTGAATGAATTCATCCGCTACCTTTTCTTGAGAAGTTTGAGAAATTACAATCTCTTGGAATGTAGTTCCTTTTAATATTTATCTTGACCAACGAGTGGAGAAAATTTGTACACTTGTCACTATTCTTCAAGTGCACACACTTTGCTTGTTGATAATAGAAGCTCCTTTCTGCTTCACAAAGAATCATAGCTTCTTTTCTCAGTCGTGATACATCACTCTTTAGTTGGATATTACTTGGGTCACCATGCAATTCCACTTGTACCAATTCCAATTTCTTTGAGGCAAAATTTGCCCTCGAAGAAATATGTGTGCAGTGTTTATCACTGAACTTCTTAAGCACTCCTTTAAGACTTTGTAGTTTCTTACAAAGTGAGAATTGTTTTGATCCCCAAACAACTTGATTCCAACTATTAGATAGCACATCATGGAAATCTTCATGGTTCATCCTCATATTAAAGAATTTAAAATGAATGTTTTTGCCTGCAATTTCCTTCAAAATTGATACAACGCAAGGCGAGTGATTGGAAAGGCACCCTGAAAGAAGGAAATTTGCAAAGCTATTAAAACCCCCTTGCATCCAAACTTCATTCACCATGGCTCTATCAAGTTTACTCCAAACAAAGCTATTAGTCCAACTGTAGAAGCACCCAATAGATCTCATATCGATATGTCCGACTCTAAGGCAACAATTTTCCAAGTCTTTCACCTCATAGGGAGTAACATTCGCACCGTTGCATTTTTCATCAAACTTAAGCACATTATTGAAGTCACCCAAAACCAACCATGGCAAAGAGCAATTGAGATCGTACTCCACGATATTATTCCATAGAAGCCCGCGATTCACAATAGTATGGAAAGCATAAACAAAGCTAACAAGGAATGTAAGTGAAGATACCTTACAAGTGATGGGACAATGAATGATGTGCGTTGTATTCTCCAATACTTCCAAGTCGACTTTCATAGCATTCCACAAAACCAAAATCCGGCCAGCTTGATGAATGTGAAAATAAACCAACAAATTTATTCATCATAATTCGGCTCCCCCAACTTTGTTTCCAAAATTTATTTTTTTGCTTTTATAAGGTGATAAATTGCTGAAATACACCAAATTTTTATCAAGAGATTACTCAGTTTCTCATTTTGCTCAACTTGATGAAATCAAATGATATGTGCTGAAAATTAGGGCAATATCTGAATTTTGCTTGAAATATTATGTGTTAATTCAGGTGGAGTTTTGTGTTTTGCTACGAATGTGTGCCTGGCTTGCGGCTACCAAACTTTTGTGCCTTTATTCACTAGGCGCATTATAATTATGTGAACTTCAGTTTAGAGTAGTTTTCAACTCCCTCTGGCATCTTTCAAATGCCAGCCTGATCTTAGTATCTCTTTCGGCGTGTGAAGTTCAATAAATTTGACACATTGGAAGAGGAACCAAATTAATATGTCTTGTGCTCTTTCCTATTGAATTTTTCTTTTCCTGCCTTTTACTCTTTTTTAGTTGCATTTGCAGTATGCCTCTTTTATTGAGCGTGGAGAGTATTTTTTACTAGTGTTTTAATAATTATTCCACTTGATGTTGCAAATTCGGTGACTTAAGATATAGGGCAGTGACTAGTGCATATTACAGAGGTGCAATGGGGGCGATGCTGGTCTATGACATTACGAAGCGTCAATCATTTGATCATGTGGTTAGGTGGTTGGATGAGTTGCGAAGCCATGCTGACAAGAATATTGTTATCATGCTGATAGGCAATAAATCCGATCTGGGAAGCCTTCGAGCTGTACCTGTGGAAGATGCTAAAGAGTTTGCCCAGAGGGAGAACCTATTCTTTATGGAAACATCAGCCCTTGAGGCAACCAATGTGGAACCTGCTTTCCTAAATATCCTGACTGAGATTTATCGCGTTGTCAGCAAGAAAGCCCTTGTGGCCAATGAGGAAGCAGAATCTGGAGGAAATTCATCTCTTCTGAAAGGAACTAAGATCGTTGTTCCTGGCCAGGAGCCATTACCAGCAGAAAGAAAATCCAGCTGTTGTGGATATTCATAGGCCCAATCCTTCACTCTTGGAGTGTATGCTGTTGTATTTGTTCTATCTGCCATATGACACACGAGGTTCATTTCTCTTTTTGTTACAATCAGATTGTCCTTCCACAACATGGACTTCTGGACCGGTTAAAACTTGAAATGAAGTGATTTTGGTGATATATATCGTGCGAAGTTTTGGTATGTAAATCATTCCTTGCCTCAGTGATATGGAAAAAATTGAAACCAAAATATAAATATCAGGGAAAAACTTATCATTCTGATCTACATTAAGATATTGTCATGTGACTTCATTATCTAATCATGATTCTGCAACAGAATGTGATCGAGTAGTTAACTCCTGTGCTTGTAAAAGTAGTGGTTGCATTGTCTTACCAATCATTCTACATGAACATTAAGGTTGACATAACGCGTGACATAATTCTACGTGGCATTCTATCATTAAACAGTTTAAAACACAGTCAGCTTTTCCATTTAATTATCTGCCGCCGCATGCGATTACGAACTTTTAAACCTTCTATTAAATCCTTCTGACAAAGCAATTTTATCCCTAATAGATAACTATACACGGTTTGGCGAGCTTGTTTGAAAAGTTGAGAATACTTTGTAGGCTTGCTTGTGTTGACTATTGAATTATCCAGTGCAACAGTAATGGGATTAATTGAAAGCGACGCAGGTACTTTTACGCACCACCGTCGCCCTATTCCCTCCGGCCACTGCCAATTCCGGAGGGCATGCTCTATTGGAATCCGATGCGCAGTTTACTGCATAGCAATTTCCCGTCCCTCCTGAATGGATGATGGAAATTGGCAAGTTTGTATCCATCCTTAAGGCTGACATCGTAAAAATCTTTTGCGCTATTGAGGGTGAACTCAACTAGTGACACTGGTGGCATACTACTGGCGCCAATACACTGCACAATGCCGCTACAGTCACTGGATTGCAGCTTCAGTTGCCGGATTGGTCGGAAGTACATCCAGTACAAGCGCAGAAGCGGCCCCACCACCCTGAAGGTGCATTGACCGATTGACGGTGGTGGTTTTGGATGGCCCGAGCTGGAAGCCACCATTCATCAGTTGAGGTTTTCCGTGTCCTGGTAAAGTTGGTGGCTATACAGTGTCTGTACATATGTTTGGCAATGTGAAAACTACAGCATTTGCTCCTGGAGAAGATAAAAATCATCAAAGAGTTGGTACATTAAAAAGCAGAAGATTTCGGTTCAGGATAATAAATATTATTAATTTAAGAAATTCCGAACTAGGTGCCAGAATAATGCCACAACCAAATGTGAAGTAGATCAATGTATAAGTTCAGAGAAGCGCAGGATCAACAAATGTGTCTGTGTGAATTTTAGATTAAAGATTATGGCTCCGTTTGAACCTTATTCTTTTCAAAGAAATATATTTTTAAACAGTGATTTGACATCATTTCAATTACACAATCTTCAATAAAGTAATACTACACATAAATTTAAAATTTTTTCTTACTTTTTAATCACACATTCTACATCAATTTACTATTTCAAAAAACATTTTTTCAAAATAATGTAGCTCAAACACACACTACATATTATGATTTGACAGGGAATCCTAAGTATGAACACAACAACTCATGGCAATCACAAAATATCAAGACTGGCCCCTCAGGGCACAGCTCAACTGGTGGATCAATCAACATTGGCTTGCTTCCAGCGGCAGGGTGGAGAGTTTGATTCCTGATGGGAACCTGCGGCCAAAAATTTGGTATGGAGCAATCACTATGGAGGAGGGTTTTTTGTGCGCAGAAGTGTACAGTCAATGGGGGGATCCTGTGATCCAGTTGAGGCATAACCTGCGATTTACCCCCTCCAAAGTTCTAGGGGCATGAATCTTGGAGGTCCAGGATTTAGTTTGGTGTAAACTGAGATGCCTGGATATCAACAAAAAAAAAAGTGTATATATATATATATATATATATCACAACTGGCCATATTTGGTAGGTGAATATGATTGGATTTTAAGCCTATGCTTGTCATCTTTTAACAAAATAAATTATTTGCTATAGTAACATTTTTCACCACAAATTCATACAATAAAATATTTTATATACAAACCAATAAAGTTTTTTTAAATTTCAATCACACATTTTTCAAAAATTACTATTCAAAACTTTATATTATCTCCCAAAATGGGAGACAAACAAGCTCTAAATTATTAATAGATAGGCGTGAATGATAAATAAGTGAGCAGTACTTATAACAGTGAAAATAAAAAAGTGTTTATAAATTAAACAGCTTCCATTTCATTTGTACAACGAAGTCAATATTGTTTACTATTTTTGTGTACACATATTTTAAGGTGTAAAATATTTTGAGCATGAAAGAGTGAATCAAATTCATCATGCCACATTTCCCAAAACTAAAATTGCTGTGTCGACTTTGTGGTCTCCAATGTATGTCTATTTCAAACTCTGTGCTATTTAGATGGCCAAATGAGAACTTAATAGCGCGTTAGGCAAAGATTAAATGTAAAGTAAGTTTATTTTTGAGTAAAATTTTGTTTTCCAAAATACATGGATGTATTGTTGGAAATTGCTGTTTTTTGGCATAATTTTGAGTGTCCCATTTCTTCTAGATTTGTGTTTTCTGCAACAAAACATTGGGATCGTATGTGTAACATTTCTTCTACGAGTGTCTCAATATCGGATAAAGGAGTTGCACATACACTTGTTTCTTTATATTGCACATTTTATGTAGGTACAAGTTTGTGTAACATAGATGATCTCTTGAACGTGCGCAGGGGTGAGTGCAAAAGTGGGTGCAAATCACGAACATTGAGCCTAAGCTTGGGCCCTAAGTAGGTCTGCATTTTGCACATTGTCCCATTATTTTTCCTCTTTATTTCCAAACCTTTTAGCTTCTGTTACAGCTCCAATGCTTTTAACGATTCATTTTATACGACTTTTAAAAAGTTAAAAAGAACTTTTAAGATTCAAAGGTTGCTTTTGAACCCGGCTTGTTAATTTTATGAAAGCGCTCCTAATTAAAAGAGCTTCTAGAGAAAGTTGGTCCAATATAGTTTCCTTTAAAAAAAATTTCGAAATTGAAAGCTCTTTTAAAAATTAGTTTTCAAATAAAAATTAAGGTAACTTTTTTCAAAAAATTTTCTACCGAAAACAAAATTCATGCCAAACTATCCCTAACTGTTTTGGCACAATTATTTAGTACTCCCTGTTTGGTGCGTATTAAAATAAAATTTTTGGTAAATTTTGATAAAAATTGATTATATGTGTGTTTGAAAAGTTATGAGACTCATAAAATATGTGGTTGAAATTAATTGTTGAATTTGATTTAATTAAAATCTGAATTTTAATTCAAACCAAATTGGGGACAAACTTGGTGACAACGTATTAAAGTAATTGAGTTTGAGTTGGTTAGTGTTAAGGGAAAAAAATCATAAGAATTTTATATCAAAGATGAAAATATAAACTAATTTATAAGAGTTTAGACTACTCCTCATAATAAGGTTGATCTTTTAGGATGTAATATGAAATCTTATTATGGTATTAGAATCCATTAAACTCAAATGAACAATTTGATCCGATAGAGACTAAAAAAAAAGAGTCACCATCATGCTGGGACACATTAAGAAATAAAAATCATACATTGAATAAAGATGAAAATATAGATTAATTTACAAGGAAACGGGCTACTCTTCATTATAGGGGATAAAAATCCTATATTGAACAAAGATGAAATCATATACCACTTTTATAAGTACATGGTGCTCCTCCTCTTAATAAGATTGAGTTTTTAAGATAGAACCAATTCAATTCTTGGCATTCTTGTTTAACTACAAACAAACCTTGTATTGATGGATATCTCATTATATAGCCAGGTTGAGAGTGCAATTCAGGACACTAAATTTTACTCGTGCATGATTCTGTACCCGAGGTTGATGGTTTTTTGACCCAAAGAGTAAGAAGAAAGATGGATTTTTGATAAGGAAAAGATCAGATGAAATCATTGCCATAACCGGCTACATTGGATACATATTACAAAGGTTTTTTACCATATTTCTAGTCACCAACTACTACCTTATCTGTTGACAGGATATACCATGCTGTGAAACACATTATAAGCAATTAAAATAATCATTACATGGATTGACTTTAATACATATAATGCTACAAAATGTGACAACAAAAGTGGCAATCAACTATCAACACTCGTTGACACTTTTGTTGGAAGCACTAAAGCATTTCCTTAATGTTTCAAACCTTTCTTTAGACAAACGTTTTGTTAGGATGTCTGCAAATTAGACCTCAGAATTGCAATGCACCAGCTTCACTTCAAGGTTCTCGTGTGCTTCCCTAATTGCATGATACTTTATCTTGATATGTTTTGTCCTTCCATGGAACACCAAGTTTTTAACCATAGCCACAGCAGATTGGTTGTCACAATGGATCACTGTTGCATCAGATTGCTTATGGTTTAGATCCTCCAAGACTTTCCTTAACCAGATTGCCTGGTTTGTAGCCTTAGATGCAGCCACATACTCTGCTTCAGCTGTTGACTGAGCCACGATTTTGTACTTCATTGAGTTCCAGCAGACAGGACTTGATCCTAGATAGAATACATACCCTGATGTGCTCTTCACATCATAGTTTTCAGACCTCCTAAATCAGATTCCAAGCTCTGCATTTCCTTTGATATACCTTAGAACTCTCTTTGCAGCCTAAAAATGTAGATCAGTTGGCTCCTGTCTAAATCTGGAAAGTATGTTGGCACCTAATGTGAGGTCTGGTCTTATGATGGTTAAGTACAAAAGGCATCCCATCAAGCTTCTATACACTTTTTCATCAGACTTCTTGCTACCATCATCTTTCATTAGTTTCAAATTTTGAATCAAAGGTGTGTTCACTAATTTGTAGTTCCATGTTGAACTTCTTCAAAATTTCTTCAGCATACCTCCCTTGATTGACAAAAATTACATCCTTTGTTTGATTTATTTCCATTTCAAGTAAATACTTCATTCTCCCCAAATTAGTCATCTCAAATGCCATCTTCATTTCACTTTTAAAACTGTCAATAGAATTCAGATTGCTGCCAATTACTAGAAGGTCATCAACATACAATGAAATGATAATAACATCTTCCTCCACTTGTTTTATATGTAGTGTTTGTTCATTAACACTTTTAAAAAACCAAAGCAGCTTAAATGTTCATCAACTCGGTTGTACCAGGCTCTTGGAGCCTGCCTCAAGCCATACAAAGCTT